TCCACCCTCCAAAGCGGCCATTTTTCTCCAGGGCAACTGATCTCTGTCGTCTGGAGATGACAGAGATCAGTTGCCCTGGAGAAAAATGGCCGCTTTGGAGGGTGGAGGCCGGCATACCTATCCCCCCTGGAGAAAATGGCTGCTTTGGAGGATGGACTGTACAGCAGTATACCTTGCTGAAGTCTCTCCCTGCCTCAAACCCCACCCTCCCCAGACTGCACTCCCCAAAAACCTCCAGGAATTTCCCAGCTTGGAACTCAGGTTGCCAGCTCCAGCTTGGGAAATACCTGGAGATCGAGAGTCGGAGCCTGAGGAGGCCGGAGTTTGGGGAGAGACTTTAATAGGGTACAATGCCATAGAGTCCACCTTCCAGAGTGACCACTTTCTCCAGGGGAATTGATCTCCGTCACCGGGAGATCAGTCGTAATAGCAGGAGACTGGCAACCTGGAGCTGGCAACCGTATGTGAGGTAGGGGAGGCTGAGAGTGCAAAACAGACAGAAGGGAGAATGATGCCGTAAAGCTGTTTTTTTTTTTTGGGGGGGAAGCAAGGTATAAATATCTAAATAAAGAAATATTGGTTCCTCCTTTTCATCCAAAATGAAGGCATAAAGTGGATGATAGTTTGCTGGTGTTGTGTCTCCAGGATATCTTTATGTACCCAAAGGTTTGACAAATAAGCAACAGCACACGCACTGGAAGGAGCGAGGCGTTGACCAGTATGTCTGCACAACAAAGAACAACGTGTCTATACTCCGACCTTTAGGGCCTGTAGGGCCGACTTTTCCTTGCCTTCCCGTTTCTCCTGGATCTCCTTTTTCGCCTTCATTTCCTTTAAAAACAAACACAAAAAAAGTAGCCATGTTACATATTGTTCAGAGCAATAAAGTGTAGGCAATAGCCCGCTGGCCTGGTTTGTTGAAATGGGGAATTAGCGGGATGAGAGCTTTACAGAAAAATGAATGGCTGTTTTTGTCTGTGGGAAAACACCCTCTTGGAAGTTTCACAGCCTAAAGAGGTACCAAACTTTGGTTCTTGCTGCCCTCTAGCGACTACAAAGGAAAAGGATGAGGTGGTTACACAGTGTCATAGATGCAACGAACATGAAATTGAGCAAACTTCAGAGGACAGTGGAAGACCGGAAGGCCTGGCGTGATCTGGTTCATGGGGTCGCGAAGAGTCGGACTCGACTGTGCGACTGAACAACAACAACAAGCGACTACAACCTCAGTTGCTTTTCTCTGCAGAACAGCTTTACGTTCCGTAAATTATCCTGGGAATGATGTAGGTCAGGAGACATGTCCTGTCTAGCGTGATTATTTACTCACAATCGAGCTGATAGCTGGATAGAGCGTTACATCTTTCTGATCTAGGTCAATCCTGTGGCCGTGGTGAGAAAAGAGATGGGCTTCCCCTCTCCTTGCAGTAAGGGTTGATGGACAAAGAAACAGAAAAGAACAATAAAACTGCTATCTTTGCGCCTCTGAGCTCAGGAAATTACTCTTAATGAGCCAGTCAGAGGGAAGCTTCTGGGACCCCTAACTGTGGACACCAATTCCCAGGTGCAACTACTCTTAAAGGTACATTAATGCTGGCTGGGGGCAGCACAAGACATCAGCCGCCTTTATAATTAAAGAGCCAAATGATAGTAACATTCAGAGCAGGAGATCAACATAGAGACAGCATAAGAAAACAAAGAGTTGTTCAACAGTGGAATCAGCTGCCTAGGGAGGTGTTGAGCCCCCCCCTCCACTGGCAGTCTCTAAGCAGCGGCTGGATGAACCCTTGTCAGGGATGCTCTAGGCTGATCCTGCACTGAGCGGGGGTTTGGACTAGATGGCCTGTATGCCTTTCCCTTCCCCTCCCCACAACAGACACCCTGTGAGGTGGGTGGGGCTGAGAGAACTCTGACACAAACTGCTCTTTTTCAAGGACAGCTGTGCCAGAGCTTGTGACTGACCCAAGGTCACATCAGCAGGTGCAAGTGGAGGAGTGGGGAATCAAACCCGGTTCTCCCAGATTAGAGTCCGCACACTTAACCACTACACCAAACTGGCTCTCCTAATGCTCTAGGCTGCTCGAGGCTGATCCTCCACTGAGCGGGGGGTTGGACTAAATGGCCTGTATGCCCCCGTCCAACTCTGTCATTCTAGGATTCTATTTGTAGAACTGAAAGTGTACAACTTAACATTACTGTAAATTGACAAGTTGGTCAAGGATCCATAAAGCTTCCACAGCTCAGACACTCATTGCTGCGAACCCTTCCTTGGGAAGTGGAACATAATAAATTTTTCCTTTGTGCTCATCCAGATCTTATCTCAGTTTGGCTTGCAGATATACCCTCCTGTTTATCTTTTGCTTATCGTGATATAAGTTGATTTACCCTCCTGTTTATCTTTTGCACATCGTGATATAAGTTGATTTTTTCCCCACCAAGTCAAATTAGTACCTTGCTCTTTTAAAAGTTTTTCCGATATTATCTCTCCCTTTGAATCTAAAAGGTCCTCGTACCTCCATTTCGGATATTTAACATAAAGCGATGGTTTAACTAATGCTTCTATGGGCGAGAGCCATCTGGGTAACTTTATATAATATTTTACTTTTATCTCCTCCCAAATTTTGTACAGTGCCGCTCTAATGGTATGTTGTTTAAAATGAACAACCGGCCTATACACAGGTAAATCCTCTGTGGTTTTTTTAGTACACTGGCATAAATCTGTGCATGGTTCACATTGGGGTTCCTGGCAGCGTTCCCTCTAAGCTGTGTTAGTGTGAGCTAGCTCACAGTTTTTCAGCCTCCGGCTCACACATTTCGGTCTTCGCTCAGGAAGGATGGCTCCAGAGCAGACCAATTGATGCGGTAGCCAAATCGCTCACTCACAACTTTAATGCCGGTAGCTCACAATGTAGAATTTTTGCTCAGAAGACTCCACAGCTTAGAGGGAGCATTGGTTACTGGCAACTGTTCTCCTCTATCATTTCCCTTTGTACAGATGCCAGCCTCCAGGTGGGGCCTGGGGATCTTCCAGAATAATAATTCATCTCTAGACTACAGAGATCCATTCCCATGGATAAAAATGGGTGCTCTGGTGGGTGGACTCCAGGGCATTGTATCCCACAGAGGCCCCTGTCCTCCCCAGGCTCCACTCCCAAATCTCCAGGGGTTTCCCAGCCTGGATCTGGCAACCCCACTTTTTTGCAAAGCACTCTGAGAAGCCCTTTGGCAGTGGAAAGCGCGGTCAAGTTGCAGCCGACTTCTGGCAACCCCAAAGGGTTTGTAAGGCAAGAAGAACATAAGAGAAGCCAATGTTGGATCAGGCCACCGGCCCATCCAGTCCAACACTCTGTGTCACACAGTGGCCAAGAACACCAGGTGCCCTCAGGAGGTCTACCAATGGGGCCAGATGTTCAGAGGTGCTTTGCCATTGCCTGGCTCTGTGTAGTGGACCATGGAGTTTGCCATTGCCTGCCTCTGTGTAGTGACCCTGGATTTTTTGGGTGGTCTCCCATCCAAATATTAACCAGGGCCAACCTTGCTTAGCTTCTGAGATCTGACAAGATTGAGCCTACCTGGGCCATCCAGGTCACTGTGAGAAAGAAGCCCTTTAGTCCTATAAAAATCGGTGCCTGCCATTCCCTTCATGGACTAATTATTCTAGCACTTTGTCCATCCCTGCCATGTACCTTAACTTAAAGGTGTTGCTTTCTTTTTTTTAAGAACCATATTTTGTTCTGTACTGAGCCACATCTGGCTTTGGTCTCATAGACTGCAGAACCCAGATTTTATGTATTTACTTTATAGCCGGCCGTTCTCACTGAGATTCAAGGTGGATTACTCAGTGTAAGTCAATACAATCAGCAGGCAAGGATGTCCAATAAACAATGCAGAATTGGATAGCAGAAATCTGAGAACAAGCAGAAATCTGGCACAGAGCTGAAACAATGTTGAAACAAAGCACAAGCATTTAAACGTGACACATTAAACCAGGAGTCGCCAACCTTTTTTGAGCCTGCAGGCCCATGTGGAATTCTGACACGGCAAGGTTGGTGCAGTCACAAAATGGCTGCCACAGGAGGCGGAGTCAGAAACAAAATAACAGCTGCAGCTTACCTTCAGGTCCTTGTGTTGTGGTGGAAGCTGCTTCTTGTGCAACAATTTTAAAAAATCTGCACAGCCAATCAAATCTCCAATGGCTAATCAGAAACCTTGCTGGCCCCACCCACTTTCTGAAAACACTTGGTGGGCACCAGGAAACATGAAACATATTGGTGGGCGCCATGTTGGGGACTCCTGCATTAAACATTGCAGAAATTATCTAGTAGGAGTATGCAGTATGCAGTAGCAAAAAAGAGCAAGAGTCCAGTAGCACCGAGAAGAGAAAAGAGAAGAGGAGAGGAAAGGAGAGGAGAGGAGAGGAGATTGGATTCATACCCGGCCCTTCGCTACCCGAAGGCGTCTCAGAGCGGCTTACAATCTCCGTTCCCTTCCCCTCCCCATAACAGACACCCTCTTAACCACTACACCAAACTGGCTCTAACAAGTAAGACTAACAAAATTTGTGGTAGCTTTCGCGAGACACTGCTCACTTCTTCAGGTTATCTGAAGAGTATCTGAAGAAGTGAGCAGTGGCTCACAAAAGGTCATCCCCTGCCACAAATTTTGTTAGTCTTTAAGGTGCTACTGGACTCTTGCTCTTTTCTACTGCTACAGACAGACTAACGAAGCTACCCATCTTGATCTATCTCCAAAGTATGGCGTGGTATACCCTGTAGTCCATACCCCATAACCCTGACATAGGAAAGGGTTGGAAATGGACCTGAATTCAAACCCAGACTATAAGCGCTTGGTTGAGATCTGAACATTGTGTTAAGATTAGCTCTGGTCAAGCGCTGTGGGTGGTGATTTGAGAAAGTGTCCTATTGCTCTCCCATCCCAAATCCACCTCTAACTGAGCCTAAAGACGGCTGCCAGAAAAGGAACTCAAGAAGCATCTGCCAGATTGTAGGCTAGAGGTGGTCTCTGGGTGGGCCAAACAGTCATCTTTCTCCAAGTTGATAGAAGCGCCTTCTAGTGCCCAAAGGAAGGCCTTGGATGCCGTGCTGTTTGTTGGCCATCCAGGGCAGCTGCTTGGCTACCGCGTGAAACAGGATGCTGGACTAGGTGGACCACTGCTCTGATCCAGCAAGGCTCTTCTTGCATATTCTTGTGGATCCATTTGTAAATCAAAATCTAAGGCTAACTTTTGGCTGTGTGGATGCACCCATTTGTACAAACAGGAAAGGGTGCTGGGGGAAAAAATGCCAGTAGTCATATAATGTCAGAAAATAATGCCTTTGAATTACGGACTTTAACTGCCTGAAGTCATGAGTTCTGCCTTTAAAAGCCTGGACAGGTTAAGCTTAACTGCTGCCAGCAACAGACTTACTGCATCCTCTGTTTTCTTCCTCCAAACTTCCCTCCTACCTATGTTCCTGCATCTTCACTAGAGTCCCCACGGAAGGGTTGCCAACTGGCGGGGGGGAATGCCCCCTCCCTTCAGTAAAAGCCTAGTGTGTGTGGATATGGGCAGTTGAAGCTTTTCATAACATCCCTTTAAGCATCTATGAAAGGGACGGGACACCTTTTCTCCAGGTCAGCTGGCAACCCTAGCTGGCTTCAAAGAAACAGCCACCTCCTCTCCTGTGTCAGCAAGCTGCCATTGAGAGTTCTGGTTCCGGAAAAAATGCCAGTAGTCATATAATGTCAGAAAATAATGCCTTTGAATTACGGACTTTAACTGCCTGAAGTCATGAGTTCTGCCTTTAAAAGCCTGGACAGGTTAAGCTTAACTG